GAAGGACCTCGGCCTCAGCGACTCAGGCGGAGCGCTGTGCCATTGCTGGTTGTCCTAGGGGTCCCTAATTTCGGATCTAGCAGAGGGAAAGTCTCTTGGGGGGGAATTCATGTCGATTTCGGACTGAGGTTACAAGTTACTAGGTACATTGTATATAAGGAGGGGTCCGGAATCAAAAGGAACAAGGGTAGGACAAAAGGAGACAAAGGGAGATGGAAAGAGGACCAACACCGAGGGTCAAGTGTTTGACTCAATGGTGTTTCCCAAAGGAGGAATGAAGGGCCAAGGCCCAAGGAGGAAGGAAGGAGGAAGGGAGTCGGGAATGGCTAGCTGACTGAATAGAAGGAAGCAGCAGCCCAAATAGGAGTGAGGGAGAATAGCGGAATTGAAATGGACAATGCAATAGTTGCAAGGTCCGGAGTAAGTCCGGAAAGTCCGAACTCGGAGGTTAAACTCCGGAATATTGGCAAAGGTAATTAAATGGAATGAGCTAACCAATACAATGGGTATAAGCGGAGGTGGGGTCAAAGTCCGAGGTCGGAGCTAAGACCGGAGGTTCCGGAGACGAGACGTGAACGGGATACCGGAGCGGAGGTCCGGAGTCGGGAGCATAGGTTTTGCGTACTCGTCTGGAAGGTGTCGAGGTTGGGGTCGGACCCGGAATGTTCCGGAGTCGGACCGAAGGTGGTGGCCGAGCCGGAGGTGGGATAACCTCTTGGGAGTCGGCAAGGAGAAGGTGACGGAAGGGAAGTAGGGCTCTGGAAGTCGGAGTTCGGAGTTCCGGGAGCCCGGAGCGGAGGTCGGGATTGTATGGATATGACATCGTGTATCGTGAGGAGCTCCTTATCGTGGGTGTCATAATTCAACTCCGGTGGGGACAATGCATGTGAGCAAAAAGTGATAGGGCATATCTCACCATCAGAACACCGGATGGAGAGGATCCCTGATACTGCATAATCGGAAGTGTCTGTCTCCACGATGAGCAGAGCATCAGGCAACCAATGAGTAAGGATGGGGGCAGAGGTGAAAGCGTCTTTAAGAAGATGGAAAGTGGAGTGACATTCATCAGAGAAGAGCCATGGAGTATCCTTATGCATGAGCCACGTCAAGGGTACTATGATGTCAGAATACTTGTGGATGAAATGCCAATAGAAGTTTGGATGTTGCAAGCAGGGAGAATGGGCTGAAGAGGCTGCAGGGGCACACAGACCTCTGAACCTGAGCAGACCACCCTCACTCACACACACAGGTAACAAAGGGGGGAGGAGCAAAACCACAGCATTGACAGACTCACTGGCAGACCTTCCTACTACTAGGTCCGAAAACTCAAACTTCGGTGAAAAACCAACTAAACTTCCTGGTGGACCTTCCCTAGGGCCGAGCAAGGCGTCCTGCCTTCTCAACGTCGCCCTAAACCTAACTGAACTCGTTCACACGCTCCCAGACGCGGTGCTGTCGGACTGGCACTAAAGTGGGGAAGGAGGAGAAGATCTCTTATCATACTAAATACATGTTTGTATATAACCAAAGATAATGTCCGAGCAATCCGACGGTGTTAGGGACGGACAGAAACGGACAGAACAACATAGAACAAAGAAAACAACAGAAAACATGATAAATATATGGGTGCGGCCACACAATCGATAGAATTCGACGATCTCCACAACGGCTGCACCAAATCACCCGATGCTGGACTTGTTCGACTCGTCGTGACGGTAGCTTTCTAACGATATAAAATGCGTCTGGATCGGAGAAGAACTGGGGGAGATATGGTGAAAATATTATAGAAGCGGCCCGATATGGAAACTAAGTGGCCGTAACCTGGTCCGGAAAAATATCAAAAAAATACAGAGATGATGGGGGAAGTGCAATGGGCTGGGGGATTGTGTGTCGGGTCCCAGGTAGCATCTGTAGACCGTTATATGGTGGTGTTTGGGTACTACCGGCTCATCCCTCCCACAATGTCCTTAACCTTATGTGGCTCAGGCCAGTCCTGAACAGCCTTAACCTTCTCTGTGGACATGGTGAGTCCAGCTGGAGACAAGCAGTAGCCAAGATACTCTGTAGTATTGGTGTGGAATTTGCATTTCTTCGGATTGGCATAGAGGCTGTTAGCACAGAGTCTCCAGAGAACCTCACAGACATGCTCCTGGTGAGAAGCAACGCCCTCAGAATAAGCGAGGATATCATCCAGATACACAACCATGGAAACATCCAAGAGGTCAGCAAAGACCCTGTTGATGAATCGTTGGAAGGCCACATGGGCATCAGTCAGACCAAACAGCATGACTAGCCATTCATAGGATCCATAGCAGGTGCGAAAAGAAGTCTTCCACTCATCACCCACAGCAATACGGACCAAGTGGTATGCATGGTGGAGGTCAAGTTTAGTGTAGACTTTGGCATGGCTAGGAGTGTCAAGGAAGTCTGATATGCAGGGAAGTGGATAACGATCCTTCTTCGTGATCTTATTCAGTCCTTGGAAGTCAACACAAAGGTGGAGCGAACCATCCTTCTTGTGGACAAAGAGAACTGGTGCTGCATGGGAGGATGTAGCAGGGTGGATGAAACCAGAAGCTAAGTGTTCCTCCAAGAACACATGAAGAGCTTCAAGTTCCAGGGGAGAGAGGGAGTTGTCAGGGCACACCCCACCTGACCTGGTGCCGCACCCTGCATCGCCCTGCCCTACTCCGCTCCCCCCACTACCACTCCTCGTCCCTCCTCCCCCTTTTTCCTCTTTCTCTCTATTTCTATTCCACAGTCAACTTCCCTTTTCTCTATGTATCATTACACACCTAATCCCGCTCCCCCGATCGCCGCACCCACCATGTGCATTCCCGCCTACAGAGCGGCACACCTCCAGGATCTCCTGTGGAGACACCCAGAGAGGTCTGGCTGTGTGTGGAGATGACATGGCTTCCCCCACGTGACCCTAACCGCATGTATATAATAGCACCTGGGGTGGGAACAGAAGAAGCAGCCTCCTTCTCAACTTCCCACTTCAGACTAAGTGGTCAGGGACGCTCCCCCATGACAGGATCACCACTATGCACAGCTGACACCTGCCCCATCAGGTCCCTCGCACTGGGACTTCGCCGCTTTCGGAGCTGTCCCTGACAGGAGTAGAGGGTTCCTAGGGGTGGTGATGTGCCTTCCTCAAGGTCGATCTTTAAGTTGTATTCACAATGCGGTGCTAGTATAGAGGCTTTGCTCTTGCTAAACACATCCACAAATTCGTGGTACTGCTCTGGAACAGCCAAAAGGTCAACGTTTCAGATGAAGAAGCAGCACGAAGCTTAGCTTCTAACGGGAGTGTGCTCAGGCTATATGAAGTAGAATCTTCGAGTTTTCACAACTTTGTGAATGCGGAGTGGCTAACAAACTCGATGGAGGGAGCCTGGTAGTCAGATGCAATCGGTGTAATCAGGGCAGTGGAGTCAACAGGTGGAATAAGTTCTGGATGCGACAGAGGGGTGCACGCAGAGGCAGGACTGGTATGTTCGGAGGTTCGGAATGAGATACTGCTCTTTAACCAGTCAATCAACAGATTGTGGTGGGTGAGCCAGTTGTGTCCTAGAACCATGGAACATGTACCATCCAATGAGGTGACATAGAAATCTGTCTGGGTGATGTTACCGGAAGCAAAATGGAGTTTAATGTCCACTGCTTTAGTAATGACAGAATTTGTGGTCCCATCAAACAAGCGCAGAGACAAAGGTAAAACCAGATAGGTCAACAGGTTGTTTTTAATCATGAACTTTTTGTCAATGAAACAATCTGACAATCCTGAATCAATGAGAGCTTGGTATTGCTCATCAGGGGTGTTTTCATTAATAGGGGGGGCAGAAGTAACGGACAAAGGAGAAAGAGGAAGTGAGGACAAAGGATTTGGAGCAACAGATGATGAAGGAGGTAGACCATTTGGAGAAAACAGTTTTCCTGGATCAACAACAGAAGGGAGAGACAGAGGAGGAGAGAGTAGACCATTTTCAGACAAAAGAGAAGAAGAAAAAGGGACAAAAGAGATGGGAATGATGAGGGAGGATGTTTTGGATATTGAGGCAGTGCTTAAAAACCTCTTTGATAGCATGCAAGGGAGTAATGCAACCCCGGGTTCTGTCAGAGACCAGGTTGAGATGAGGGGAGTGTCTCCATGATGGAGGGCTTCGGCCTCAGCGACTTGTGCCAGGAGCGCTGTGCCAAGTAACACGTCCATGCCCTAACTTACTAAACTGGCAACCAGAACTGAAGGGGGTAAACTCTAGTCAATTTTATTACTGAGGTGTAACCTATGTACAAGTTGAGTATATATGTAGTTACAACAAGAGCAGGCCCGCAAATGGCAGAGCCGAGCGGAGTGGAGCTAACAGGGTTAGACATTAGCCAATTGAATATTACTGACGAGTCGGGTTACGGGGTTAGCGGAATGGTAGGCGATAACCCAGAAACGGAAAGGAGGGATAGGCCTGAAGGTGGGCTTGCAGGGCAAGCGAGTGTATTGCCCAGTGGAGGCAGGAGTGCGCTAGCGGACGTCGGAGCTGTCCAGAAGCCTTCGGGGCTCTGTACTTAGGGAGGTGTAGGTAATAAATTGAAAAGAGGGGGTGATGACCATTGAGAGGTACCGAGGTGATTTATGGAATACAGGAGCTCCAAGGTTAGTGAAGAAGGAGCGGGAGTGGACCGGAGGGATCAGAGGGAGTGGAAGTCGATGGCCGGGGATGGATATGACAGGTTCGTGCTGAGTCCACGGAGTTGCAAACTAATTTTTTGGCTCCACAGGAGGAGCCATAGTGTGCACAGTTTGGGCAATTTGTGCCTTAGAAGCGCGAGAGGATGATTTTGGGCAGTCCTTGACCATATGGCCAGACAAACCACAAAACATACAAAGATTCCTGTCGACACAGCGCTTACGCTCTTCCGGTGTTAGCTTGCCATTCTCACCGAGTTTTGAAGAGAGGTCCGGTTTGGCCATGGGGTGTCCTTCAGACTTCTTATGGTCTTTAGGAGGCTTCGCAACCACAGCGGAAGTGGAGGTGGAGGGAGTAGAGGAAGGATGGAAGGAAGTACTTGCCGATCAAGACACAGGTGGCAGATGAGGGTGGAGGTCTAACATGTCGTCCAGCTTCAGCCTTACGCTTCCAATATCGCATGTCAAATGTCTGCATGAGTTTTTGGAGGGCAGAAAGTGAAGTAGGTTTGGTGACATGCAAGAAATCGTCCTTGAGATGCTCTGGCAGTCCATCATAAAAGAACTGATGAAGTGCAGGCTCGCCATAACCATGCAACTGCGTAGCATATCAATTGAACTTGACAATGTACTTGTTTATGTGATGTCTGTCTTTCATACTCAACTGGAGGATCTCATCTTCAGCATCACCCATTGGGTTCTCCTTGAGTTCTAAGACAAACTCCTGAAAGTTATCCATCCACAAGGTCGAGCGCCCTCAGGCAGCCCTTCCAGAAGGTCTGGTTTGAAATGATCAAGGGCCATCCCCATCAAGAATGACTGCGCATAAATAATTTTTGAGTGGTCACTCACGAAGGCCAGGGGGTGGTCCTGAAAGTTCAGTTCACACTGGACCAAGAAGGTGAGGAGCTTGCGGGGGTCAACCCTGCCAAACTGGTTGGGTTCTCGGACCTTGGTTTGAAGGGAGGTGGATGGAGTGGGAGGTTGTATGGGAGCAGGAATCAGAACAGGGATTGGAGCGGGACGAGCAGTGGAGCGAGCAAGATAGGTGATCGCTTGTGCTAACTGGGTGAGTACTGGAACAGGAACTTGCTCAACTTCATCGTTGTCACCAACGAGAATAGGAATGGGTGGAATAGGGAGGTTAAGGTCAACGAGAGGGACAGGTTCATGAGGAACCAGCCCATCTTCATCAACAGCCTCGACAATGATGGCCAAGTCGTGCGTGCTACTGGCAACAACACGGTCGAAGTCAGAACCTATAAAAGAGTCATATGTAGCTTGAGAGCGGGAGTGTGAATGTCTAGGTCATGAATGTAAAGAATGTGAATGTGTTTGTGAACATCTTTCGGAGGAAGATCATGAGCTAGTAGTAGATGGAATGGTATGAGAATTAGGACTAGGAGACTCAGCTCCAGCATGTCTACTTGGAACAGGATGACCAGAACTGGTGCCTGCTCTTGGCGTCGCATCCATCACTAAGCCACGAGTCTGTGAATGGGTACGAATCCCTCTAGACATAGTCAGTGTTAAAGGAATGTTATGAGTGCAAAATACTGTCAGAACACATCAAAGAGGGAATGGGCATGTCTGAACCTTTCCCCTGAAGGGAGGCCGGAGGTAGAGGACAAGCAGAGGGACCACAGCCTCAGCGACTCGGAGAGGAGCGCTGTGCCAATCTTCAGTAATGCTAGTGTTGGGTCCTTAACTTCAGAATGAGGGGGCGTGAACTCTGGGGGGATGTTAGAACGGGCGGATTCGGACGACTCCGGAGTGGAATCGGAGACTTAGCATGGAAGGACCTCGGCCTCAGCGACTCAGGCAGAGCGCTGTGCCATTGCTGGTTGTCCTGGGGGTCCCTAATTTCGGATCTGGCAGAGGGAAAGTCTCTTGGGGGCATTTCAGGTCGATTTCGGACTGAGGTTACAAGTTACTATGTACATTGTATATAAGGAGGGGTCCGGAATCAAAAGGAGCGAGGGTACTCCGAAAGGAGACAAAGGGAGCTGAAAGGAGGGGCAACACCGAGGGTCAAGGGTTTGACTCAATGGTGTGGAGGAGTGAAGGGCCAAGGCCCAAGGAGGAAGGAGGGAGGATGGGAGTGGGGAATGGCTAGCTGTCTGAATAGAAAGGAAGCAGCAGCCCAAATAGGAATGAGGAGCGGAACTGAATGGAGCAATGCAATAGTTGCAAGGTCCGATGTAAGTCTGGAAAGTCCGAACTCGGAAGTTAAACTCCGGAATATTGGCAAACATAATTAAATGGAATGAGCTAACCAATACAATGGGTATAAGCGGAGGTGGGGTCAAAGTCCGAGGTCAGAGCTAAGACCGGAGGTTCCGGAGACAGAGACACCAATGGGATTCCAGAGCGGAGGTCCGGAGTTGGGAACATAGGTGTTGCGTGCTCATCTGGAAGGTGTCGAGGTTGAGGTCGGACCCGGAATGTTCTGGAGTTGGACTGAAGGTGGTGTTGGAGCCGGAGGTGGGATAACCTCTTGGAAGTCGGCAAGGAGGAGGTGGCAGAAGGGAAGTAGGACTCTGGAAGTCAGGTTCGGAGTTGCAGGAGCCCGGAGCAGAGGTCGGGATTGTATGGATATGACAATTACCCAATAGCTGTCACTAATCCTGCCCTTCACTTACCCACTCCACAGTGCTTGATAAGGCCATTCTCTCATGAGCTTGCCAACCTGGCAAGTGGGTAAGTCCATCTTGGGTTTTCCCTTTGTTCTCATTTGTCTGGTATGTACTGTAGTTGATGGCACTTCAGTGCAAAATCGATGACTAGATCCCCCCAGAGTTCGCACCCTCCCATTCTGAAGTTAAGGACCCAACAATAGTGTAATCGAATGTTGGCACAGCACTCCCCTCTGAGTCGCTGAGGCCACAGTCCCTCCGCTCATCCCCTACCTCCAGCCTCCCTTCTGGGGAAAGGTTCAGACATGCTCATTCCTTTTTGCCATGTTCTGACATTGGACCCCTCTTCTGTGCTACAAAGAATGTGGTGTTGAGCGATCCCTCCATACATTAAAGAAGCCTCCTGATGATTGTCCAAGAAGGACTAGGAGTGAGTACAGATTTAGAGATTTTATTGATTGATTGTCTAGCACCTGGACCACAGTGCAGTATCAGCACTGTTGCCACCAACCATCCTTTCCCTCCTTCTGATCCGATTCAGATACTACCCCCAGGTCCCTACTCTCTTGCCTGGGCAGCCTTCTTGCCCGGTTACACTGTTGCTGGTTGTCCTGGGGGTCCTGTCACGACCTGGCATTCCCCGGGGTCAGACGACCTCCTCCCTGACCTTCTCCCATGCCCGAACACTCCCCGCACACTCTGCTTGCCGCCCGTCACCGTCTAACCCCTTCCCACCACCTCTCCACAACCCCTCTCCTAATTGTCGTTGAATGATCTAGCGGCGCAGAGCGCCGCGACCTGTTGTCCCATGTTTCTCCGCACCTTGTTATCTCGTGGCGAAGGTCACGTTTGACCTTCGCTGTCTTGAACACGTGCTCCTTGTTTGTTTTCCTCCTTCTTTTCTCCGCCTGCAATCTCCATGAGATCTGGCAACTTATTCCCTATTCAGTTCCCTAGCGCTTATATACAGCTTGTAACTAATGCTTGTACTGTAGTTCAAAATCAACTAGAATTCACCCCCTAAGCTTACCTCTGTCCCCCATGAGACCTCCGACCTTCTGAAGTATCGGGACCGCGTTGAGAACGAGGCGCAACGCTCCTCCTCGAGTCGTTGAAGCCGAAATCCTGGCTCACTCACCTAAGTAGCCTCGGCCTCGAGATCGGTGGGGTTTATCCCTTGCTAAAGCTTGGTCGTGTGTAGGACGCCTTTACCACTAGCGGGCAATGCTCGGTCGCCTACGGCTACCATCGGCGAAGATTCGCACGGTTCTGACAGGTCCCTAATTTCAGATCTAGTGGGGGGGAAGTCTCTTAGGGGGGAATCAAGTCCATTTCAGACTGAGGTTACAAGTTACTAGGTACATTGTATATAAGGGGTCCGGAATCAAAAGGAGCAAGGGTAGTCTGAAAGGGAGCTGGAAGGAGGAACAACACCAAGGGTCAAGGGTTTGACTCAATGGGTTTCCCAAAGGAGGAGTGAAGGGCCCAAGGAGGAAGGAAGGAGGATGGGAGTCGGGAATGGCTAGTTGACTGAATAGAAGGAAGCAGCAGCCCAAATAGAAATGAGGGAGAATTGTGGAATTGAATGGACAATGCAATAGTTGCAAGGTCTGAAGTAAGTCCAGAAAGTCCGAACTTGGAAGTCAAACTCCGGAATATTGGCAAAGGTAAATAAATGGAATTGGCTAACCAATACAATGGGTATAAGTGGAGGTGGGGTCAAAGTCCGAGGTCAGAGCTAAGACCGGAGGTTCCGGAGACAGAGACATGAACGAGATTCCAGAGCAGAGGTCTGGAGTCAGGAGCATAGATGTTGCATGCTCATCTGGAAGGTGTTGAGGTTGAGGTCGGACCCAGAATGGTCCGGAGTCGGACCAAAGGTGGTGTTGGAGCCGGAGGCAGGATAACTTCTTGGGAGTCAGCAAGGAGAAGGTGATGGGGGTGGGGCTCTGGAGTCAGTTTTGGAGTTCCAGGAGTGTGGAGTGGAGGTCAGGATTGTATGGATATGTGTCAGGGATGCATCCGGGGTAGAGGAGGCCTGGGTGAGATGCCTGACACTGGAAGCCTCACAGGGTGTAGAGTGGGGGTGCGTACTGGTGGGCCCAGCTCAAGAAGCAGTCCCTGGCCACTTAGACTGAAGTAGAAAGGGTGAGAAGAAGGCTACTTCTTTGGTTCCCACTTCAGGTATGTTTATATGCATGCGGCTTAGGTTACATGATGGGTGCCATGTCACCCTCGCATACGGCTGTAGTCACCCAGGTGTCCCCATGGGGGATCCCAAGGGCGTCTGCTGTGAATGCGCGAGTTGGACATAGTGGGGGTTGCTCGAAGTGCCTGGGCCAGGCATGTTGTAAGCACACTGTGGGTGGGTCAATGGTACATTGATACAAAGGAAGGTCATCTGTGTAGCATAAAGAGGAAATAAAGAGGAAGTGAAATAGGGAGGGGAAGAAAGGAGGAGCGGGAAGGAGGTAGGAGAGGACTGGGTGGTGGGGTACTGGGTAAAGTGGGGCCAGGTGGGGCGGGTCAGGTGGGTGTGCCCTGACAATATGACAGTAAGGAGTGGTAGCCCCACCCCTTAATTTCTATCTTTATTGTCATATCCATACAATCCCGACCTCCGTTCCAGGCTCCCAGAACTCCGAACCTGACTTCCAGAGTCCTGCTTCCCTTCTGCCACCTCCTCCTTGCCGACTTTCAAGAGGTTATCCCACCTCCGGCTCCAACACCACCTTCGGTCCGACTCTGGAACATTCTGGTTCCGACCTCATCCTCGACACCTTCCAGGCAAGCATGCAACAGCCATTCCCGACTCCCATCCTCCTTCCTTCCTTCTTGGGCCTTGGCCCTTCATTCCTCCTTTGGGAAACACCATTGAGTCAAACACTTGACCCTCGGTGTTGTTCCTCTTTCCATCTCCCTTTGTCTCCTTTTGTCCTACCCTTGTTCCTTTTGATTCCGGACCCCTCCTTATATACAAATGTACCTAGTAACTTGTAACCTCAGTCCGAAATCAACTTGAATGCCCCCAAGAGACTTTCCCTCTGCTAGATCCGAAATTAGGGACCCACAGGACAACCAGCAATGGCACAGTGCTCTGCCTGAGTCACTGAGGCTGAGGTCCTTCCATGATAAGTCTCCAATTCCACTCTGGAGTCGTCCGAATCCGCAAGTTCTAACATTTATTCTATATGTGTCTCATAATAAACATGTATAAACAATGTATACACAATAATGTGGGAATGTGGGAAAAGGAAGAGAACTTTTTCCTCCCCATTTTTGATAAATAACCACTCAGAGTGTCACAACCGACAAATCCCAGGGCTCCATCAGTGGTGAACCAATGCCGATAGGCGAATCCACTGACCTGAAACCCATCCTAACCAGCCCCAACCCAATGTCTGGCCCCCTGCCTTATTGCATGAGACTTGGCCAATAATCAGAACCTAGGCGCTCCCGGCATTCAGTCCCTCCAGTTCCTATGCCTGCCTTGTCTCCATCTGAACCACACTCATTGCTTCCTGCTATGTGGTCACAGCCATACCCCGCTTCCATGCATTCCACACCCTCTGCCCACTTCCATGCCCTCTGCCACTCCTGGTTGACCTCCACACCCTGTAGTCAGGTCAACACTCCCCTCCGTACCTTTGCTGGCCATACTTATCAGCTCTGCACTGATTCCCGCATCCCATTTCACAGACTTGTGTTGGTGCCGCACGCTGACCCCCGCATTTCCTTTGGCCTTTTGCCACTTGGCAGCTTATCATTCATTCCTTGCCGAGTGCCTATTATGTTCACCCATTTCATTCGCTTAACTTGCCAATATTGGCATTTGATCCGTGTGCTATTGCACTTTCCTATTCATTCATTTAATCTGTCAATATTGGTACTTGATCCGCTTTGACTTTATTCATTCCTTGCCTCCCATTTCCCAGGTTCTCATCCTTGGTTTAGTTTGACAAGTCCCCGCTCATTTCCGCTTATTTCCGCACCGGACTGACTGGTCCCTCTTTTGATTTCTCTTACCTACTTGTACCTTTCGGGGACCTCAGTCTGAAATCAACTAGAGTACCCCCCCTCTCTGGTCTGAGTCTCTCCTTCTGCAAAGGGGGCTTCCCCCCCTCTGAGTCTGTGCTCATGGAGTCTGCACTCCTCCTACAGGTCCGCTCCACCTGCAAGTCTTGTTTGAAGTCCACTGTAAGTGTCAGTCTGTAAATATGGGATCTCCCCCAAACATCAAGCTCAGGGCACAGTGCTCCACCTGAGTCACTGAGGCTGCGATCCCACTCTGCTAACCTTGAACAGCACTTCCAGACGCACCACACATTTCCGCCCACATATCCGCACATTGTAATGGGTCTATCACCTAGACTCGAGACAGAGAGAAGGGGGAGGGTGGTAGTGTGTGCGGGTGTCAGAAACTATGTTCGAGGGGATCGCGGGAAGCGGGGCAGAGTACGGCGGCGTAAGTGGTCACTTAGCTAATGAGCTACTCCGTTGCAAGGCGTCGAGGGGGTTGGGACTTCGGCTTCAACGACTTTGCCAGAGCGTTGCGCCACGCGTTCTAGGCTGTCCCGTATTTCACGTTAGCGGGAAAGACCTTGCGGCGACGTTGACTTAAGCGGGATGAAGCTGAGGGGCGAACTTAAGATGAAAGTACTTGGGGGGAATTCTAGTCGATATTCGAACTGAGGTACATCGACAGTAAACTACAAGTATAAATAGGAAAGGAGAACAGAGAAGGGACCGGTCGGTCCGGCGCGGGACGGGAATGAGATGATAAGTATGACAGAACTAAAGAGCGATGAGGACCAGGGTAATGGAACAGAAGAGATGAATGGAACAGAGAACGGCGAAGTTGGGAGGCAGAAAGGATAAGCCGACAATCTAGGCGCGCGGATCAGAATGTCAATATATGTATAAATCAAATATCAATAAAGGAATAATCAATTGTCAATAAGGAATGTCGATAAGGAGCGGATCATCGGCGACCATAACAACTGCTAGTTAGTTAAGCGAGTGAATAGAGTGAAACGATACCGGCCGAATGGTTGAGGAACCCAAGTGGTGGCGGGAAAACGAGGGAGGCGCTGCTACGGGGCCGTAGAACGGGAACCACTATCAGCGCCGCTAAGTGATGGGCAATGGCGAGATTAACGGGCGCGAGTAACGGCGTAAGAATGGGGGTGCAGAAAGTGGTAGAGGGGCGGGGACTTTGCGGGGCCGTGACAGCGGGTGTGGTTCGTGGGGCCGGGTTTTGGTCCTGGGGTGCTACCGGGTCTGCTAGAACCTCAAACAAACACTCACCTACGTCTCTCTTGGATGTCAAGGCTGAGGATTCTGATAAGAGGGGTCTTAGACGTAAGCAACTAACTCAGAGGGGGCGTTAGGGTCGTGGATGGCATCTTTGCCACTTGGATGTAACTTCGGGTCTATTCAGTACTAACGTGTTATGTACAAGCTGTTATCTAGTTTATATATGTTTGAAATGGAATGAATGGCATGGGGGAATGTAAACGGGCCGTTAGGCAACCGTAAATGATGAATATCCAATTGGGAACAAAGAAACAATAAAAGAAATATGAATGAATGGGGAAAATGTGACAACGGGTCCGAAATGGGAATTGTGAAAATTAACTCCGCAACTGTTCGCCACAGCGCCCGCCTATCCTCCTGTCAGCAACCTCCTCGTCTCCAGCTTTCCAACGAGCCCTTATTCATCCCATTTGGTGCAGTAGTTGTTGAGATGTGGCCATTGACAGGTGCTGTCAAGACCACATGAGACTCTACTCCGTGCTGAACCATCCGGGCATGGGATTGCCATTCTTGGAAATGCTCCGGGGGTGAAGAAGGAAGGTAGAGCATCACTATCAGGTGGAAAAACGGCTGGGTTGTATGTGTAGGTATGGAGATCTGGAGAGGGGGTGAAATTGGTGGCATGGTTGGGCATGGGAATTTTGCTTGGGGTTGTCGGGAATGATGGGGAAAATAGGAAAAAAATAAGGAATGAGTTTATGGAGTGTTGGATAGTGATAGAATTAACATCGGGAGCGTCAGAGGGTATGTGGTATATGTTGGTGGCCAAATTCCGCAGAATCCGACTTTTTGCGGTACACGGAGTTGTCCCCACAACAACGTGCATGCTCCAACAGACCTCTGCCACAACCTCCAACCTCAACTCAGACAGAAACCCATTCTTCAGTCCATCTTCCATCCATCTTCTGACAGTACTTCCGCCTCTGACAACATTCCCAACTCTGACACAGAGCCTGCTGGAAGAACCACTTCAAGCCATGAGCAATCATGACCTTTGGTGACCATTCATGACAAGTTGCTGAGATATGGTATGTTAGAGACCAGATGCAAGATGAAGGAAATGTCTCCATGGTGGAGGGCTTCGGCCTCAGTGACTCAGACCAGGAGCGCTGTGCCTAGTTACACATCCATGCCCTAATTTACTTACTGGCAGCGAGAACCAAAGGGGGATTAACTCTAGTCGATTTTATCACTGGGGTGTAACCTATCTACAAGTTATGTATATATAGTTACAGCGAGGGTGGGCCTGTGAATGGCAGGACCAAGCGGAGTGGAGCTAACAGGGTTAAACGTTTGCCAACTGAATATTACCGACGAGTCAGGTTATGGGGTTAGTGGGATGGCAGGCTATCACCCAGAAACGGAAAGGAGGGATAGGCCTGAAGTGTCATATCCGTGCATACCCGACCCCGACCCAACTTCCGGACCTCCACCCTCTTCACCTCCGGAGTCATAACCTACCGCTGCCGTTCCGATACTCACCTTGGGTCCTGGCAACACACCTCCTCCTTACCTCTCCGACCCTATCTCCGTCCGCTCCGATACTCATCTCGGACCGAACACCGCCCCTCTCGTCACCCTCCTACTACTCCACTCCCCCTTCACAACACCTCCACCCTCCCGTCATCCTCCTACGCTTCCCCCGTCCGCTCCGATACTCACCTTTGGACCTGACTACTCTCCTTTCCGCCACTCCTTCTCCCTTACCTTTCCCCTCTCTCCTCCCTCTGTTACTCCTCCGCCACCCTTCTGCCAAGTTACGACCTTCCACCGCTGTCCCGTACTTCGCACTTGGACACCGCTCGTACCTTGCTCCGAGCCTCCGTCATAGTCCCTACCTTGGACTTTGACTCCACCTCGGTCTTAGTCCATTGCATTGGTGACCTCATACTACGAAAACACCATTGCCAATATCCCTCGGACTTTCAACCCTGCCTCCGTAACCTCCGTAAGCTCCGCAACCCCCGAGCTTCGCGGATCGCCTTCGGCACTCTCGCCGCTTGTAATGTATTTCTCGCGTTTTCCCCTCATCCCTATTTGGACTACTGCTTCTTCCTATTCTAGCCAGTTAGTCATCATCCCCACTTCCCCTCATCCTCCTGCCCCTCTGGGCCTCGCCCTCCCTACCTCCTTTCGGATGTATCACAGGTCCTGCCTTATGACCTTCGGTACCACTCCACTCCTTCTACCCTTTGTTCCCGTTCGGATGTCTTCGTTCCGATTTGGTTACCCTTTGTTTTCCTTGTGCTTTTGCCCCTTCCATTATATATATCGGCGCTTGTACATACTCGTTTTGGTTTAGTCCGAAATCGACCTGAAATGCCCCCTAGAGACTTCCTGCTCACCTACTGTGAAATTAAGGACCAAATGGACAAACAGCAATGGCACAGCGCTCCGCTTGAGTCGCTGAGGCCAAGGTCCCTCCACGCTAAGTCTCCGATTCCACTCCGGAGTCGTCTGTTTCCGCCCGGTTCTAACATGAAGGTAGACTTGCAGGGCAAGCAAGTGAATTGCCCAGTGGGGGCAGGAGTGCGCTAGCGGACGTCGGAGCTGTCCAGAGGCCTTTGGGGTTCTGCACTTAGGGAGGTGTAGGTAATATATTGAATTGAGGGGGTGGTGACCATTGAGGGAGTCGGAGGTGATTGTGGAATATGGGGGCTCCAAGGTTAGTGATGAAGGAGCCGAGGTAGTCTGGAAGGATCAGAGGTAGTGGAGGACGATGGCTGTAGATGGATATGACATGGTACACTCTTTGTTGAGCCCTATCTTCAGGCAATTAGCAATGATGGAACCAAATCAGTCACATGGCAACTAAGCCAAAAATGGCTGTACCATGGTGATTCACACTTGAGTCCTGCAATTTGTTGTTGTTCTGTTGTTGCATCATGTGGCTTATGCTCTGAGCTCCCACCATCACCATCATCACATCATTAACATCTGATCAGCAAGAACCCTTTGCCAATCCTCACCTTCATAAGTCCGGAGCTATGAGCAGCCTCACCAATCTCAGGTTGGTTCTGGGTGTTGAACACATCAACAAACATGGTCATTCCCAAAGCCCTACAACTTCATGCAATAGCATGTGCACTTGCTTCTGGAGGTCTATTGGCTTTCCTTGGTGTCCTTGACTTCTTGGTCTTCTCTTCCTTTCTGGAACATCGGAGATTTGGCATTGAGCACATCAAAATTGCAACACAAATTTTGTCATTTGTCTCACAATTTGTTGTCACAGCTCTCCTTGCAATGCTTTCATTTGGAATTCAAGCAATTGCAGTCAATGCTACAATACAGCGATGTGAGCTGCATGCATTGCTGTGAAGCAGATTCTGATACAATGTTCAGGTCAGGCACTTCTTGTACTCCATGACAGTGTTGAAGCCTGGCGAGGCCTTGGGTCTTCACTTTGTGCCATTTGGCATAGTGAAAACCATGCTTTCCCTGACTGCCTCCAATTATTTTGTGCTCTCTGTTTTTACAGTTCTATTTTTGTGTTCCAAATAGCCACACCCTCTTTGTTCTCAGTGAAGGTGGTAACCAAAAAACAGGAGGTGCCAGTAACTGTCAACTCCATGCCAGGTAACATCATGAAGGATGCTTACATGGGTGACTCAATTCAGTCATATGGTGCAATCAATTATCTATACAGGCAGAGGAAATACATTGTTGATGGAGACCTTGTTGGAGTAAATGATACGTATGTTGCATCCCTGCTGTTCCAGGCTGCTGTTTACTTGGGTTTTGCTCAGAGTTCTTTTTGGTACACTGGATCAAAAATTGGAAGGTGTGGAGTTTGAAGATCACACTGCCCTCAACTTGAGTGCAAGATGTGGAATCATTCCTCATGCTTCTGGTGATTCTTTTGATTTCTCCTACTCTCTGGGTATGTCAATCAATGCTCAGATATCTGGTCAATTTTTCACTGGCAGTTTAGGCCCAATAGAAAATTATCCAGATGGTGGAACTATATTATTCCATGTGCATCCCAAGTTCACACCTGTTCCTGGTGCCATGGTGCTCTATGGAAATAGTCTTGTGAACAATGTGGGACTAATGAATCAGAGCACTGGGGATTTTGCCCTTGGTGGTGAGAAGCCAACTCCATCTGCACCACCCCAATTCTGGTGTAAGTTTCACTTTTGTACCGCGTCCCCAATTCCACTTAGAAATTGCTGATTTCAACTATCTAACAATGTTTGGACCATCAAGTTAATGACATGCTTTTAATTTTATTTCCCCAAGATGCAGTCAACCGAAGTGATCTTCTGGTAGATGCTTTGAAAACTGGCACTTTTGCAATGGCACTTGTGACCATACAGGACTATACTTTAGGTGATGGAAGGCAAGGTTCTCCAGTGCATCTCACAAAGGAGGTCCAGGTTTATACATCTGTGGCAAGTGCAAATTTCAGTGTGTCATTCCACCATATGGGTTGTGACATGGTGCTGATTCTTCTCTTTTATCAAGGCAAGTCCCATATCACCTTGGAACCCATCAACATAACATTCAATATATGGTCAATTGGATGTGCAATGTACACACAAAATCTAACTGCACATGTGTCAGGGTCTGACCACAAACTGCTGGAAATCCTGGGCAAACAGGGATACAACTCTCAACCAAAATCCATTGACATGCCTTTTGAGCGCAAGTCAAATGCAGTGAACCATGTGGAAAAATATTTCAGCTACATGCTGTATGAGACCTACCTGATGGCATGTGTCTTTATAAACCCAGATCAAATTTTACTCCCCCATGGAAACAATTCCAATGTGGCACTGAAGGTTATGCAACCTTTACAGCAGACTGCACTTTTGGCTCTCACCTCATCTTCACTGAGCACCCAGAACCAGTCTTTAAGCCTCTCAGGATTGGAGACCCAAATCAGTTCATATTCAGCCCTCACATATGGCATCCCTGTTATGTATTGGCGAAGTGCACTGCTCCATGATTCTGGCATAGTGCAACAGGTTTGGTCACCCATTTACTTCAATACAACTGGAACATACCAGTCTGACCAAGCTGTTGCCCAAGTTGCCTATTTCCCACTAATAATTGTCACTGCATTCTCTGGGTGCATTATGTTTGTTTGTTTCTTCATCATCTGGGATGCATTCATTGTGATGGGAGCTGTGGTTGAGGATACACAATGGCGGCAGGTGATTCATGATGGCAGCCTTCTTGACATGATATCTTTACTTGCTGGGTCTCGGTCCAGTGCCAGTGCTGTGTCACATTGCTGCACTCAGCACAACAGTCTCTTGGACTATGATGATATAAACAATATTATTGTTGAGTGAGTGTGTGAGTTCCACTTGCACATCTCTAGCATGACCTCACTGTGGGCAGGTATTCAGGAGGGGGTCTCTTCCTCCAATCCCAATCCATGTTTGTAAGATCCTTAATTTCACCCTCTGATCAACTCTCAAAGGCTTTTTGCAGCCATCATCAGGATCTGGGGCTACACATAAACCATTTGATCAAGTTTGGATTCAACCCAACTCATCCAAGTTAGGGGTATTTTCAGGTGCTAAGCATCCTCGCTCCGTGGGCCATGCAAGAAGTTTGTGGATATTAGGCATGGGAGGGATACTTGCATTAGTTGCTTTCCATGGCTGCCTTGTGGTTTTGTCTGGGGCTCATGTTTTGGACCATTTTTTCTTCAATATCCAACACTTGGGGCTGATGAACCAAATTCTACTGACATACAAAGAGGGATTTGTGGTTACAGTGTCTGCATTGGTCATTCCATCCATCTCATCACTTGCTTGTGATGTCTCACTAAGGGAAAGTATGCTGGATTTCCCAAGCTATTTCTTATACACCAGACTGACCACACAATCACCTTGCCTCTAGAAATGCCCTTAGGAGCATTGCATTACACTCTTTGGGCCTGGCGTCAAGGGCCCTGCTCCCTGGTGCTGGCTCCAACATCAGTCCTTAGTCGACTCAATCTAATGTGTGTCTTTGGATTCTTTCTTGGAATCATGGGCACACATGTTACCACACCAACTATTGTGACAATGGAAGCATTCAATGCTTCAATCCCAATTCATTTCACAGTTGACAGAATCCCAGGTTTCTGGAGTAATGTATCATTCTCTTCACAGTTCACTGGTGACATAGCAGGGGTTCTTGCAGCCACTCCATACATACTGGGTGACACCACATTTGGTGTTAATAATATTCTTGGCTGGAATCAAACGTAGGCCTCACATCCTTTCATGGGGCTTCATACAGTAATTTGCACAGTATCCTGTTTAGTACACTCAATGCACCAGAGTATGCAGGGGGAACCTTCCATGATCCATTTGCAACAAAGTATACTGTGTCATGCCACAATGTAATCCCTCAATCAAAAGAGAATCCATACACTGGTAATATTTTGCTTGTGGTAAGTGAGATGTACAGTGTCTGTCTGTAACTGACTTTCAGATGCCCAGGATAACAATACCAGCGAATACTTCCTGTCCATGAATTTGACTACTCGCATTAACCCATATCCTGGCATAAGTATCCTGTATACTTGGTGGTTTCCAGACTTTCATTTCTGGCCTGCACAATCAACAAGTCCAAAAGAGAACAAGTCATCTACCCCAGTCTTCTCTGGTGAGTATGGGTTTAAATAATCACTAACTGGGACAATTCCCCAAATCCCCTTAGTCCCAAATGTGGTTGCTCTACTCCGATCTCAATCTTCTCATACTGGAGTATTTCCCATGGTTCACATCTCAGACACCCCACATGCCTTTGTAGAGGGTGGGGCATCACAGGGCTTGTATAATCTAACCATTCAGACACAGATGTGGACATATGTTCAGAATCATAGTATCTGTGAGTCCACCCAGATGCAGAATGCACTTGTCATTCACCTCAAATAGCATCAGATAAACTAGACCACTATATCCATGAAACAAGGAAACTGGAGCTGGTGAATGTCACTATGTATCTTTGGCCTATTGTGTGTGCGCTCCACATACTCAATGGTACAGCTGTGGTGACTTCAAATAAACTGGAGTCATTTGTCCCAATGGTGGCAGAAATAATTGAACCACCACCAGGCTATGTGCGATCAGGAGAACCAACTCATGTCATTGAAAAGAACTGGGACAATCTAATATACCTCTCATATGGTGGCCTCTCATATCTCCGGCCTTGGGATCTCATCTGGTCAGAGGACCCAACACATAATGGAACATCTGCTACCCAAGGTGGAATGTCCAGACTTGGTGAACAACTTTCCCTGCTCACTGCAACAAATGTAGCAATGCTTGACCGATATTGGCGAGCAAAGTATGAAAGCCTGGCTCCAACTCCTTGGCAACCTCTTCATGCTATAGTTTATGGTTCAAAACTAGTGCTATCTGCACGTTTCACTATCCACACAGTTCCACTTTGCTTTGGCTGTCTTTCTACACTCCTTATTGGCATGTCATCTGCTGTTACATTGTGGAACACTTTCAACAGGAAAGATGTTATTACCAAAGAAGCTGGGATAATCCACAGCATTCAGATGCTCCAATGGTCTTCTCTGACCCATCTGCTCAGCAAACATCAATCATTGCCAGAATCAAGTGTAGATGGACACAGAGTTAGCAGGGACATCCTATCACTGGATGTCCAGTAAGGAACCTGCTTTTCCAAATATTCATGGACTGATTTATGGGATGAACATCAGATGTAACAGTTTAACACTGGATATTATTCATGAAGGGAATGATGCTATTTTAGATCCACTCACTGTATGTTGTTATTGCATGCCTTGAGTTGCCTGTTTAATTGTTGGACTAGGATTTTCCAGAACACCGGTGACCAGTCCATCAGGGGACATGTCACTCTTCAAGTCAGCCCCTTGGTTCATTGATGGAGGGAGGGGAAAACTGGTGACTGCATGGCTGTGATAGAAATGGGATTTTTCTTATTTTAGCCTCTTATGGGCTCTGCACATTACTGTATCTATGCAATTTGTCAGAGCACAAGCCCTGTGCCTCCAAGCCACATGTAACCCACCTGATCAGCCAGGGGAGAGACCCTATAGGGTATCAATTTTGCATTGTTATACATACCCTAGGGGGCCTGTAAGGTTGCTTACTTGTTTGGGGATGGTAGCATTCCGCTCCCCCATTTACCTCAGGCCTCAGATGTTCCATCTAGTAATACGTTTTGATGAGCTGTATATTGATGGGGTAGAAGTAAAGGCTGGTCTGCCCTGCTACCCTGAGGGTTTATATACATTCTCAGCACAAATAAATAGAGAAGCATCCATGATGCTATATTAGTGTCATGACATAATTATTAGACAACACAACGTCAATTGATGTTGTGAGTGGAATATAGACATGGGCCAGGGCCTCACATCCTCCTCCCTTGTGATATTGAATCGCAGACAGGGTACAAGCATATGAAAGAAAAACAAGCATATTAAAGAAATTTAGTGCTTTACATATGAAGAATGTATGCAAAGGGGGGCACTGTCATATCCATCCACAGCCATCGTCTTCCACTACCTCCGACCCTTCCAGACTACCTCTGCTCCTTCTTCACTAACCTTGGAGCTCCCATATTCTGCAATCACCTCCACCTCCCTCGATGGTGTCAGGGGACGACTCCCGGGTCCCCATGACCCTCCCCTATGGTCCACAGTCCCAGGTGTAACCAGCCCTGTCCAGGGCACAACCTACTGTGGGTCAGAGATGATATATAAAAGAGAGGCAAGTATATATGTACAACTTGCCTACTGTGGGTCAGAGATGAGAAGGAAGTTAACTTCTCATCTTCCCACAGTGGCCACAATACATCGAAAACTTCCGGAGATATCCGGAAGTCACATGAGACCCGAGACCCGAGGTCCGGGCCATCCGGCCGCACTGAGCATCCGGCACAGGGTGCGCGCAGGGAGTGCAACAGCCGGGTGCAGTCACGGGTGCGGGTGCGAGTGCGGGTGTGGATGCGGTATGGGCTAGGTCAGGGTGTATGCCCTGACAGATGGTCACCACCCCCTCTTTTCAATATATTACCTACACCTCCCTAAGTACGGAGCCCCGAAGGCCTCTGGACAGCTCTGACGTCCGCTGGCGCACTCCTGCCCCCACTGGGCAATTCACTTGCTTGCCCTGCAAGTCTACCTTCGGGCCTATCCCTCCTTTCCATTTCTAGGTTATTGCCTGCCATTCCACTAACCCTGTAACCCAACTTGTCAGTAATATTCAATCAGCTAATGTTTAACTGTGTTAGCTCCGCCCTGCTCGGTCCCACCATTCACGGGCCCGTCCTCGCTGTAACTATATATATACTTAACTTGTACATAGGTTACACCTCAGTGATAAAATCGACTAGAGTTGATATAGTTCTCATTGCCAGTAAGTAAATTAGGGCATGGACGTGTAACTTGGCACAGTGCTCCTGGTCTGAGTCGCTGAGGCCAAAGCCCTCCGCCATGGAGACATCTCCTTCATCTTGATCCGGTCTCTAACAGGCACACTCATTGCAGGAGGCTATAGTAGTAGTTTGTAGGCAAAGCCCACTTAGAGTGTCTCCTGGAACATATGTACCCAGCTCTCAATGACAGCGTTGTTGACAATGAAGTGACTTTGTTGTCACTGCAATTGCAAAAGGAAAATGGCTTCAATGCCATTGAGAACAAGTCATGGAATATGTCAGTGTAAGGGGGCAAGGGATCTACCACCCTAATGAGAAAGAGAGGGGCCTCAGAGTTGGGAGTGCTCAGGGGAGGTTTGGATGATGAGGAAGGGGGGGGGAATGGTCCAGCGCTATGATAAAAATGATAAACTTGGAAATCTCACTAAAAATCAAACTGATGGGGAACTCTGTCCCTGCACTATATATTGGGTCTCTTTGGTCTCGTATTCGCCGCTCTGGGCGCTGGTAATGTCTGCTAGAACTTCATGTTCATTTTTTGGGGAGCACCTCGCTCTGTTGGGGGGGTCCTTTTTGTAAACAGGAAAGAGGTAGCTATAAATATGAAGAAAGTATGCGTGGGGGTCCGAATGACCCGACGGGTTTAGGATGGAAACAGATCCACAAGGAACAAATAAGGAAACAGGAATATCAAAAAAATATTAATGTTGTTAAGGAAATAAAGAAACATGGCGACCGGAACAACCGGTGAACAAAATGCGTCACTCGTAACGTTGTTCGACTCGCGTTGACAAGGGCTTTCCAACGATATTAAATTCGTCCGGATCGGTGGAGAATTGATGGAGATACAGAGGAAGCGGTGGAATATGCGGGTGACAGTTGCCTGATTTGGAAACTGATGGTCAGGAATGGCCTGGAAAAATCGGAAAAAATATGGGAAACATGGAAGGGGAGTAACATCTAAAAAGCATAATATCTCCCATGGGCTCCATGAATATCCATGGTTTTCATGGCTTTCCATGGGCTTTCATGGGCTTTCATGGATTTTCATGGGGGCCATGAACACCCATGAACACCCATGGAAGCTGTCAGGGCATGCTGCTCTGCTCAGTGCCTCTCCCTCCCTTTTTCCCTCCTCTCTTCCTCCTTTCTTTCCTCATATGGATGACTTCCTTTCTTACACTTGTAGCATGGACGCATCCGGCACTGAGTACCCTGCATGGTGCCATGCTGTCGGATGTGTTGGAGGAGCAAGTCATAACGGGTGTTGTGCACTTTCCATACTTGTCTCGATGTGTATTTACATGTATTTACACCGACAAATATATCTTTAGAGTCTACTGCCATCCCAACCGAGCCGCCGCACTGAGTGGTGCAACTTTAGGTTATGAGCCCAGAGCGGCTCACCTGGGTTGGTTCAAGTATAAGTCCACATGACTCTCGTGGCACCCTGGCCAGGTTCAAGCGGCTTATGAGGAAGACTTCAAGTTTGTCTGCGATAAGTCCTTGAAAAGGCACGCATCTTTGGAAAACCCGAGGCTGAGATACAATCTTGGAAAGCCCTATTTGAGGCTGATTGCAAGCCCCTTGGATGAAGCCCTCACACTGGGAATGCGGCACAGACTACCACTCCTTTATATTTTCCGTCGTGCCACGTCATAAAATTCCCACGGTCTTTGCGCTGCGAACTATAACCCTCTGAAGCATAGAATGCTCTCAGGAGGGACTTGGAGATCTCTTGGGCTGATCTACTGGATCTTTTCTTTGGGTCCTACATGAATGAGAGGAGGACTACTTGGATTCGACTTGAACATGCGCGCGCGCGTGTGCGACACTTTGTTCCACATCCACCTCCTGTTTCCATCCCCACTTCAACTCCAAATTCACTCTGGCTCAGATCACCTCGACAATTATGCAGAAACACCGGACCAATCTATGGCCGAGCTAACACCTCTTTTGAGGATGAAGATCTATTACACCAGTGATGTACTCAAGCGGGAGATCATGCAAACTACCATTCATATCCCATTGTCCCATTTCATTTCCACTTTCGCGAAACCACTCAATGATCTCTTGGGCTGATCCTTTAGATCTTTATTCTTTGGGACTGATATATTCCACATGAATGAGAGGAGGACTAGGAACTGATTTGGACACGCGCGCGCGATTCTTGCAGCTTTTATGCATGCAATATACTCCCTTAACATCGCCTCAAGCAATTTTACTGTTGACTCCACACCCCTTGGGCTGGGGGCATGATGCAAATTCAACAAGGCCGGGTTCAGCTTGGCTCCGGACCATGCTTTATAAAAATGCGCAATATTTCCACTTCCACCTCCCGTTTTCGTCCTCGCTATCACACCAATTGGCTCCGGCCTTAATCCACCTCAACAAATCAACAATCACATACTGCAACATCTACAAATGCGGCAGCATCCTATGAGTCAGCTTATAATCAGCGACTCCGATGCAAATAGCTATGGAGCGCGACCCGCTTTTCAATGCATGCAGGGGGGGGACTAAGATTCCCTTTTGAGGACAAGGATCTTTTGAAGCGAAGACATGTGAGCAAAAACTCATGCAAAACTACCATTCATGTCCCATTTGCCCATTTTACGATCATTTTCGTGCACAATCCAATTCCTTTCCAACAATCGCCCTGTGACCAATCCGAACCACCATCACACATGCCCCTTTCCCTAACACCTGAGGGGGAGAATAGTCGCTATGCTTCAATCAGCTGTCATAGAAGGAGGGGGAGCTGCCTAACTAAGGGCATTGATAATAAGGAGTGGGTGGTATAATGCGACCAAGAAGGACGCTGAGGGGGAGGTCATCGATTTAAGGGCACAGCAAATGGAGGAATCATAAGGCCATCAAACATTTCTTTATTGGCATAGTCTTTATGACAGCCAACACCTTTGTTGCTCATCATATTGAATATGGTAATGATTTCCTCCTTTCTTTCCTCATATGGATGACTTCCTTTCTTACACTTGTAGCATGGACGCATCCGGCACTGAGTACCCTGCATGGTGCCATGCTGTCGGATGTGTTGGAGGAGCAAGTCATAACGGGTGTTGTGCACTTTCCATACTTGTCTCGATGTGTATTTACATGTATTTACACCGACAAATATATCTTTAGAGTCTACTGCCATCCCAACCGAGCCGCCGCACTGAGTGGTGCAACTTTAGGATGCTCTGTGCATCTCTACTTGTACCTCCTTTCCTTAAACACTCGGGATCA